CTCGCTGGGCGCCTAACTAAGGTATCTTCTGGATTTTTGTTCATTTTTTATGTATAAGGTTCGTAGTCTGATATTAATATATAAATCAAGAATCTCTAGAGGTCTAAACATAATTCTGAATTAAAAACGATGCTCACGTCTCCCTTCGGTCGGCGCTCGCTGGAATCCTGCCTGAGCATCTTCTGGATTTTTTTCTGTTTTCATGTGTAAACGAATATAAATAAAGCAAAAATCTCAAAAGATCTAAAACTATTTCTGGATTCAAAACAATGCTCACGCTTCCCTTCTGTCGGCATTCGCAACCAGTATAGATGAGAAACGCGATGAACTTCTCCGATCCTACCAAAAAACCATCTAATGTAATATAAAGTTAAAAGGTTTTCTGCAGACCCCAAGGAGGTTGGACGTATGTCTAATCGATTCGTTATAATAGATTATCTATACACTATCAATTTTATTACCCGTAAACCACGTTTTTTGTATTGTCACAGTTGACTGCTATCTGGCGACATCTACCCCCGGCCCACAGAAAACGGTTGCTGAGCTGTTCATCTCTTTGCATCAGTAAATATTTCAGACGATCTCTTCGAAATTTTCTCTCTTATGTAAAAAATAATTTTCTACTGCTGTCTCTTGTGATTCGCTTATAATATCTGACAGTCATTTTTCCGTATTTTGCGCACACACACACAGACAACCATTTTGTAAGACCCTAGACTAAAGTCAAGGGAATATTCTAAAATTTGCTTAGTGATTTCTTTTTAGCGTATTATGATTAATATCAGCTAGAATCAGACAATTTAGGATAAAAGTAACGATCTAGTCACAGTAGAAGTGAAAAACAGAGTAGATAGCGACTTAAAATCATAAAGATTCTATTTGAGTTTGAGAGGAAAATCCAAAAAGTACCTCTGAAACTTCGGACCTCCGAAAAACCATGTTCCACATGTTTTTTTGAAAAACAAGCCTAATGTTCTCGAGCTAACTTTTTACCCGAAAAATTCCTGAAGTTTGACCTCGATTTTCTCCTAAACGCTCCGAAAATTTTTCGACATTTTTTCAGGATAGGAACTACTTGGTGGGATCTATAACTTTGCCCATACAACTATCCTCGGCACTTTCCATTTTTTACCTTCAGTTTTCCAGAAATCCTCTTAGAAAACTGCGGTACGGAAAACCAAAGAAGCCTCAGAAAACGTTGAAGTACATTGAATACTTCATGCTGAACAGGAATATAGAGTCATAATAGCTCAATTTTCTTTTCATGAAGTAAGGTTTTAACGAATTTTCTGGGAAACTGAGGGTGAAAAATGGAAAGTGCCGAGGATAATTGTATGGGCAAAGTTATAGATCCCACCAAGTAGTTCCTATCCTGAAAAAATGTCGAAAAATTTTCGGAGTGTTTAGGAGAAAATCGAGGTCAATTTTTCGGGTAAATTGAGTGCCACTCGAATGTAAAGTTAGATCGAGACCGAATTTCTTCACCATTAGAATCAACTCGTCAAGTGCTACAATTTGGTGTATAATTATGCAATGTTTCGTTCATTTTCACCGACTTCGGTTTCACCCTCACCCAAAACGTCAGGTATCTAGAAAATTATTTTCTAGATACCTCAGTTTTCAAAGTTTCAAAACCTTCAAGTTCACGTTTTTTCAAAAAAGCGTAAGCGAGACCTTTAGATTATTTTTGATGCTCTACACGCAAAGTGGGCAAAGTGGAATTTTCGCGGCAAGATGCTCTGTATAAAGTGGGCGGACCTCTGTGGAAGCACTCATGTAATCTTTCTCGTGTGAAGCTGGCTAAGCTTTAAAAACTTTCTTCTACTCATACTTTTATCCCTTTCAACCTTTTTTATTTTTCGTGCTTGTCAACTTTTCATACTTTTTATCGCTTTCAATTTTTTTCTATATGAATAGTTGAAATCTCTAAGACATTACTCATCATCTATGAGAATAAGTTTGAAATTTTTCGAAGGATTCGTGATCACTATATACTACGTGGCTTAGCAAAACGGTGATTATGAAAAAAAAAACCTAGCTCTGGTCTTGAACTTGATCAGTGTCTGTTTCCCAGAAAATACCAAGATCAGACAATAAAACTGGAAACTACGTCAAGATTTACTGTTTGTCTGATCAATAGAAAAAACAGACTGTTTTGATCCGGTCTTATCCAGAGTTGTCAGATGGTCCACATTTTGCGGACAAATTCCCCTTTCTGCAGTTTTTTTCGCAAAGTGTCCGCAATCTGTCCGCTTTTTGAGGATTTGTTGTTTTTGCTCTTTTTCCTGCAATGAAGATTTTTACATTTTCTCATAAAAAGTTTGACGCCTTCGGCGGCTGAATGATCTGTCAGAACAATGCTTTTGCAACTTTTATAAAACAGATGTGCACTGTTTTAGGAACTAAATCAGAAATTTGCCCCGGAAGTGAGCGGTGAGAGAAAACATTAGCGTGTCTCAAGTGCTGCTGAAAGGGAGTATGAAAAATAGTGAAATACTAAATCTTCGAGGAAGGCAACTCGGTCAAAAATCTTAACCATTATCTCTTAACCATTAAGTGCTGTTGTAGGCGGGGAAGTTTCGAATTAAATTTTATCTTGCCATACATAACTCTTGAAATTTATGACGGCTGATCAAAAACGTGGATCCACAAAAAGCCAACAGCGATTTAAAGTAGGGTTTAAATGATGTTTTGTACTTCTTTTGTGTTTCTTAAGTAGTTTTAGAAAAAAAATTTTAATACCCTTTTGAGTTTGGTGAAAAATGCGTTTTCACTTTTTTTCCGCATTTTGGAAAAAAATTCCGCTTTTCTCCGTTTTTTCACCTTTTTATTCCGCTTTTTTGACCTAAGCATCTGGCAACTCTGGTCTTATCACCTTCTGATTCCGACGTTGGAGCTGATCAGAACAAGAAAAAACAATAGGAAAAAGATATTTGTAAGTAAATAAGCCTTCATTCTATTTTCAAGACAGACCAGACAAACTGAACATTCTGTAGGGTATTCACTGCTTGTCGACTAAAGTCACCATCGATCTAAATAGGTTGTGTCAGGAGCATCTACTTACTCCGCAAGATTTGTGGCAATTCGTCTACCTAACTCCCATTGACAATATGCTGCAACTTTTGTACTTCTGTTTGTGAAAAACTCCTTTTTTTGTGGCAGACAATTTCCTGTTACGCTGTAACAACCAGACAAAAACACAATCACCAATAGTTACAAAAATCAAATATGTTAACATTAACTGTTTCTTTTGTGATTTTTATTAACCGTTCATTCGCGAAAAACACGTAAAACAATAAACTGTGAAACAAATCAAAATAAAAACGTACTCCGTCTCATTGAATTCGTGGATTTTTTGCTATATGTGAAATTTTTTTTAACTGCGTACTGTACTGCTTTTAATATATCTGGTTTAGATAGAAATAAATTATAAAACTGTTTAAAATTAGTATCAATCAAACATGTGACGCACGTGAAAAAAGAAAAAAAGCTTTATGACGTCATGTTAATCAACGGAATTCTTTTACGAATATGTGGCTTTCAGAAAACAGGAAAGAAAAAGAAATCGGAAAAAATCGAATAAATCAGTATTCAATCGGACGAAAGGCTTAAAAAATCAAAAAAATTCCCATAAATCGAAAGAGCTGGTAATCCTGGTAACAACAGTTGTTTTCTTGTTACACTTTTGTGTTTTGTTCAATTGTTCCATCCTATCATTGTTTGATTGTCCGTAAAAGAAAGGCAAATATATTCATGTTTTTCTATTCACAGATATTCTTTTACAAGCAACTTATATTATCATGCTAAAATGGCTCCCAGAGTTGCAGAAGCTGCCTGTTTGCTCCGACAATCATAGGGGAAAACTTATTGATTTGGGAAATTTTTTTGAAAAATTGGAATTTCTTTTTGCAAATATTTTGCAAAAAGGAATTCTGGTCGTGGATTATGTCGGAGAATTTTTTGACAAACTTTTTCTGTCGAGGGAAATTTTCCAATCTCACGAGTAGATTCTACACCTCTGATGGTTCCCCTTCTTATATAAATCGCTTCCATAACATCCCAAATCAGAGGTGTTAGAATATTAAAAAAAATATGTAAGATGAAATGTACTTAATGAATACGTTGATATAGTATAACTGTAAGGCAGTAGTGGGCTGCTCAAGTCCACTTTCTTGCTTCATCCATGTCGCGAATGCAGCTCTTGCTCCGTGATAGAGATCTGCACGAGTTAAGAAAACGTAACCCGAACCCGACCCGACCCGATAAATTTTTACTCTTTTTTTCTATACGATGATTTGATGCAGTCGTTTACAATCGCATACGAATGATAAATCGACGTATACGACAGTCATTTTCATTGTTGTGGGTATAAATAGAGAAAGTATCTCGTTCTTAGCATAATAATTAATTATAATATCGCTTGTCAGAAACAACATTAGTTGATTTATTACGAAAATGTTTAATATTAACGGAAATAATTAGATGTACAATTTTCTTTTGTAATGATCGTCTCGGTTATACCGCTGTATTGCTACTATCTAGTGTATCGTCTACAGTAATATCTCGTTGTATTTTTCTCCATCTTTTCAAATAATCACAACTTTCTTTCTGATATCGATCAACAATCAAGAACATTTGCACCGCACCATCTTCATAACCGACTACTAGTCCATGTCCATCTTGTGTATTAACGAGTGCCCGTACTTTCGATTGACATTTCATATCAGCTATTTGTATTCCATCTGTTCGAAATACTCTTATCGTCCGTTTTCCCTTATTATAATAAACAACATGTTGATTTGTCGATGTAAAAAACGTAATATTATCAAATACACCTTCGGCCACCTTTCCAATAAGAGTGAATACTAGCTTTCCATTACGAAATTCAAATATTTCTAAACCACCACGCTGAGGTGCATATAAACCATATTTACCATCAGTCGATATTTGTCCACTCCATTTTGGTAATGTTAAATGTACTTTTTTATCTCTTACATTCATCACAATTCCTTTTTCAACATCAATTAATCCAATTAGATACGGTTGTTTTGGTATTGTTACCATTCGTTGAATATCTTTATAAGCAGGATAATTTAGTTTAACATTATGAACATGTTCACCAGTCATGGGATCATACAATGAGAGAACATCATTATTTTTCTTTTCTTCAATAAACACAATATACGTATCATCAGCAGTACATACAGCACGTTTTGGATCTCCCATACGTTTGACAATGAAATTAATTTCATGTACAATTTCACCATCAGGAAATGCGTAGGATACAGCACGACATGCTTGACCAGGAATAGGCGCTCGTGATCCGGCAGCCGAACCACTTGGAACAGTTGTTGTTGGTTCACTACTCACAACAAGTACCTAAATAAATTATTATTAATATTAAAAGAGTTTCAATAGAAACATATCAAACTAATTTTACCATTGTTTCTGCTGAATGTAACAATAGTTGAAATATATTTTTATGTGGTACAACAAATGTTGTCTGTTTCTCTTCTAAATCCCATAGAACAAGATTACCACTTTCAGCACTAGCCGCATATAAACCATTTGTACACATTGCTGTACCTAAAATAAAAATCTAAAATAATTAGTAATTAATGAAATTTATTATCGAACTTACATTGAAAAATGGCACCATGAGGATTATTACATAATTGTCCTTGTAATAGTCCTGTTTGCATATCGAATAGACATAATTGTGTACGTGTTTGAGCTAATATTGATTTTGTGTCCGATGATATATGAATCATTTCAACTGCTTTATCTAATTGTACAGTATTAAAAGATTTTTCTTGAGCATTTTCTAAATTCCATACTTTTGTAGTTTTATCCATGCCGGTTGTGATAACAAAATTATTTCCACCACTACCCGTTGATAAACCTTTAAGTACAAGTATTCGTCCAAAATGTGAATCAAATGATGCTAATAATTCACCATATTCTATTTCATACATATATACTGTTGATTTAACAGCTGCTATACAATATTTATTATCATGTGAAAAACATGCAGTATGAGTTAATTTTTTTGTACCACTCATAATATTACGAACACTTCCAGGTAAATAACATACTTTCCATAAATAAGAACGAAATGAGAATATTTTAAATGATTTAAATGTTACAGCCATTAGATAATTTTCATCATTACTTAATATTATAGAAAATACTCTATCCTTATTATCAAATAATTGATGTTCATATGCCCATATTCTCTCGGTTGTATAATTTGTTGGATGTGGTTTATTTAAATATAATTCAATATTATTATCGTTTATCTCACTACATGTATACATTCGACGTTTATCACGTGTTATAGCTAATGCACTATGAAAATGTTTTGTACCACCAGTTAAACATGTTTCTTGATTCTGTAATGACTGATCACTGTTTTGAACAAAACAATATTCAATTTTCATTCGATCACGAGCAACATCTTGATCATCTTTCACCTCTTCTGAACGACAAACTAATTCTAATTCAGGACCTGGTAATAATTCAATTTGAACTATTTGATAACGGGTCGATTGAGCTGATAATAAGTCACCTAAATTAGATAAATATAATTAAAGTATTCAAAGAAGAAAGATTATTTAATTATATTACCTTTATTTGTATATATTTGATACATTTTAGCTGTCCATACGGCAAAGTGAGTATTACTAACAGCTACACCAATGAGTGGCTCTGAAATAACGGATGTTGGTACTACCTGTTTCTTATTTTGTACTTGTTGTGGTTGTGGTTGTGGTTGATAAACTTTTAATATAATATCACCCGATAATAAATTACAAATTATTAATTGATTATTAATTGTTGTTGTAACACAATATCGTTGATCGGGCGCAACAGCTAAACACGTCATAATACCTTCAATTTTTGGATCAATTATTCTTACAATATCACCACTTGATAAATCAAAAACAATAAATTTATTTGATGTTGTTAATAAATGTTGCCCAGCTGAAACAATTTCTAATCCATATACAGCAAATTGATGTGCTTCTAGTGAATAAACCATTGGACCACCAGGTGATGCAAGTGAATGAAATGCTGGTACAAGTCCCATGACATTTAATCCAGTTGTTTCACATTGATCAATGAGTGATGCTATTTTAGGACATGTAGCATAAAACGGGAATAGACGTCCAACTATTTGACATGCTAAATTATCTGGTTCAGTGGCTAGTACTGAACTTGATAATCGTAATGAATCACTTACTAATTTAACTTCTTTATCAAAACAATATTCTAACGCATTTTCATAATCAAATATCATTAAATTCAATGGCATACATTTTAATTTAGCATGAATAAAATCATAATTAAACAATACATATGAATATAAATCATCGGTACGATTAGCACGTATCAATTGAAATGGTAATTCCGATATTTTACGTAAATTATATCGAACAATTTTTTGATTATCATTAATAAATATAATGGGCATATTTGGTACTTTTCGATCGGCTTCACCAGCTGTCGATGATAAATTAAACATACGTTTTTGTTGATCAGAAAATTGAAATGGTTTCGGACGATTTGCCCATATACCCAAAAAATAATCGGCCATTTGAGAATGATAATTACGACGTGTATTTTCATTTGCTAAATAACGTTCTTGAGATACTATAAAAAATGAAAATAATTTAATATCAATTAATTACACTTAATATTAATTTACCTTCCGCAAATTGTCGATGATACCAACTGACAACACTAACACCTTCAGCTTCTCTTTCAACCAAATAATTTGGTAAATCATTTCTAATACGTGTCCAGAGTAGTGGTGGTATACGACGTATTGGTGGTAAATGATATTGATAGACATCATTAAGTACCTATAAAAAATAAAACATATCATTAAAATGAATATATGAGTAAAAAAATACAATTTTTATACCGTTTCATCCAATGAAATTAAATCTTCTAATTCAGCTTCGGATAATCCTGATTTTGATGCTGTGATATATGAAAGTGCATGTTCAACCAATATGTGTCCATGTTGATTTTCAATACGAATTAACAATTTATTAATAGATGTTGAAACAGTTTTAGCTAAATCTGCTTCTTCTGTTTTTGTATAAGATTTCCATCTATTTATTTCATCAAATACAAGTTTAACGTATAATGGTAAACTACATTCTGATAATCGTGCATTAACTAGTAACCATTGTTGTTCTGATATTGTACGACTTTGACGTTTTAACCAGCCTTTTAACACAATTGTACCCAATTCTTCACCTAATGGTTTAATCTAAATATTAAAAATAAATTTTGTAAATTTTTGTTTTTGTTCGTATTTTAATTGTATCCTATTTACTTGAACAAAATTTTCTCGACTATCAATAAGATTTCTTAATGTATTCAATATATTGAAATAACCAGGTAATGTTGAGACAACTAATTTGACATTATTTGGTAATGTTGGTGGTAACCAAGACATTGAATGTGCTCCTTCAGCGCCTGATAATTGATCCAATGAATCAAAATACATGCATAAGGGTCGATCATTTGTTGCTTTTTCAAGTAAACGTTTAAAATAATTTGTTAATTGTGATAATTCAGTGGGTATTGTATCATCTGGTACGTTATATAAATAACATAATTGAAGACAAACACTTTTTAATAGTGGACTAATCGATGAACTATCGGGAGTTGTGCCAAGAAAACGTACAAGCAAAATTGCACGTTGATCAGAATTGTACCATGAACATGATTCACTAGCAATTTTTGCTAGCATACTCGATTTACCACAACCACCTTCACCCCTGTATAAAAAGAGAAAAAAGAGAAAATTTTCTAAATAGTATTTTTCTTAGGCTAGTTGAAATTATTACAAATGTGTCCGTGCAGATTCTACTCATGAGACTGGAAAAGTTCTTTCAGCAGAAAAAGTTTGTGAAAAAATTCCCCACATAATCCACGAATAGAATTTTTGCTTGCAAAATATTTACAAAAAGAAATTCCAATTTTTCAAAAAGATTTCCCAAATCAATAAGTTTTCTCCCGATGATCGTCGAAGCAAACAGACAGATTC